AAGAACCAATGATCAGACGACTTCCAGGTGAAGATTGAAATACATATGCATCTCCAGTGGCATCTGTAATTGGCAACCTTGTAACAGCAGTAACTGTGGTAATGAGAGGAAGTCGAGCTTCAGATTCCCCTGCAAACTCCAAATACTTTGTAACCTCAGTTCCAGAGTAGTACACTGTCGCCCTGTCCCCTCTATACAAAATAGCAAAAGATCAGTTAATCCCACATAAAGTCTAACAAACAAAAATCAGCACAAGAATACGCAAGAAACCTGCTGTCTTCTATGATGAGCTCAAACCTAAGAACATCATTATTTGAAAATTCTGGAATTGTCAGATGAACAACGCAACCTGTAACATCTGCAATTCAATTCATAGTAAGCAAATAATCATGAATATTTTTTTGTGAAAACAACTTTCGAGGAAGATACCTCCATAATTCACAACTGCCTCTGCCTCTATTGGAATAGTCGAGAACGAAGTTTTCAGAAAAGCATTGACTGGAAACTTGGGATAACCCGGATTGTCAGGCACACAAAATATGATTTGTTCACGCCTTAAGGTAAAACGAACTTCAGCTGGAACAACACCCCTGTTTTTCCTCGCAGGAATAACATGAAAGCCATCCAGGACATGTAAATCTCCTACTTTCAACTTATGTTGCATTTCTTGAATGTCATTTTCCTCAATACAGGCCTCTAGCATATGTTCCTGTTAAATGTGATTTAGTGCATTACTACAATAAAATCAAACATAAACAATAAATATTACATTACAGAGACAAATGACAGACCTCTTTGTCAAGACACAGCACATGCATTATTCTTTTATGCCCCTGAGAGTCATCACCATGCTCAATCCATACATTAAGAACTCGAATGATCATAATATCAGTATAAGCACCCACACGTAGACCACGAAACACCATGCATGTGGAAATTGGGTCTGTGGCAAACGAAAGACAAAGAAAAACCCCAAAACTTCACACCTCGGCAGTGTTCATTCATAAACCAATAAATAAAAACTTGAAACAGAAAGCAACGGAGCCGATACCTCGTGGAAGAGTTGGAAGTTTGAAATCACGCGGCATTATACAACGATGCCTGATATGGAAAGACAATGGAAGATCAAAAATTTGTTAAAGTGTCAAGAAACAGAAACAGAATGCAAAAGGGAAAACTATCGGCGAGCATACCCCATGAATACACGACTATCCCTGATCCAGAAGTCGCGAAGCACTGTAGTTCGTGGGAGAAGAAGTTCAGAGAACATGGGAAGTTAAAAAGCAGAATCAGAAGCGAAATGAAAAGGCGGTGAAAGTTGGTCCCTAAAACGTTTTCGCACCACCATTATAAAATCATAAATATAATATTCAATGGGCTATCAATTGTTCCCCTAATGGACCGAACAATTATAGAATGGGCTTCCCAAAAACTATAGAAACTTAATATAAGCACAAAGGCATCTCCTATTCGGGCTAAATATGAGAATACTGGGCCCAATTCATATATCTACTTATATATCGTAAAAGAGAGCCCGTTATTTATATTTATCTATACGCGCCCGGGCTTGAAGCAAATTGAGAAAACACAAATGTTTCATTTGATAATACTTTAATCATGTAATCGCAGTTTGTTATTGTTTATTCATTTTTAACATTGTCAATGGTTCAGGTGATACCACACAATTAAACTAAAGTTTGCTCTTGCTGTATATTTAGAACATGGGTTGTACTCGGTTCCTCGTTTATGGCTATGTTCCTCAAATTTGGTGTTGTTAGGGTCAGTTTGTTCTGATATTTAGATGACTATCCATAGACATCTATATTAGGCAACAGATTGGAACATGTCAAATTCCAAATTAAAGCAGTGACTTCCACCTGCAATTTCTTGTTAAAATAAACAGCCACCATCAACTGGTTGCTCCTCTTTTCTTGCCTACATTCTAAAACCGTTGTAACCCATAATTGGATAGAAACCTTGGCCATTGATCCATGAACAACACTGGAAAAACTCAACACGCAAGCTACTCAATAGTGCACCTCTTGTACTTGCAAAAGCTTAATATCAAACAAAAGATAAGTGATATGAGAGAGAGATGTGCACCAAGGCAATCAACGTTATATTCGACATCATAAAAATACATAAACAACACCATTACACTACGTACACTAACTATACATAGATCTTTTGTTCCTTCTCACAAAAACCTAGCTACTTTCTTTGTACAAAAGAGGTTCATTAGATACACTAACACTTCCTAGCTCTGACTGTTCCTCCGCCCTCCAAATGTAACCATCTCCCCTATCGTTAAAAGCACCCCATCTGGAAACATAGAAGGGCCAAAGTGAAATTCTCTATACATACATTTATTCAAAATAGTAGCAATTGCAAAGGCAACACCTGTTCTGCTACCATGCAATAATTCATGGGTCACCATTCAAATACATTACAGAGAAGAATGCCAACAAATAGTAAGAGTGGATTCTAATCCTACTAAAGAACGTAGTCACTCGTGGGCTCCAAACGCACCCAAAAAATTAGCAAGAACCATTTCCACTCAAAGAATTTGAAAGCATAACATTGAGAAAAGCACGATAGGAACTGGAGCCACTTCTCTACTCTGAGTTCTCTCTCGTCTCGAGACCACCACCAACAACTGACCTTCCATTTCTTTCTCAAGGAGAGTCGAGTCAAATCCCTTTCTCCTCTGAGTCCTCTCTCGTCTCGAGACCACCACCAAGAACTGACCTTCCATTTCTTTCTCAAGGAGGGTCGAGTCAGATCCCTGTCTCGTATCAGAAGCCCAGAGAGAGAAGAAGGCATGCGAGAAAATACAGCCAGAAAAAGAGGAGGAAAGGATCGGACCTCCGCGGACAACGTGCTCAACTTCGCAACGCACCACGCAGAAAATCCGGCCGAAACTCAAAAAAACCATAGAAACCCACAAAGGTGGTAACGTAACAACAATGATCACAACAAACCTAAAACGCAAAAGAAGAAAAAAAAAATAGAGGGAAAGACAGGGAGTGGACGCGACCTTTAGCATAAGACTTCATGAAAACTTACGAATTTGTACAGTCAGTATTCTATACTAGTCAGAAGTAGGCGCAAACAGACGACTCATTCTTCATCCTCACTGGTGCAGGGAAACAGCAGATGGCGGGCTCCTCAATCCTCATCCAATCAACCCCTTCATCCTCATCGAAATGACAAAAAACCTATAAGATCCACACAACTCATAAAACAATCCTCGATTTAAGATTCCGAAAATGACCAACAATCCCTCAAACAAAAAGATGAAAGAAAGATGTGATTATATATCGATAAATCGGAGATTCCTGACGATGGATCAAATCCCTTGATTAATGAGCATCTTAACTTTGATGATGATCAACAAAGGTTACTGGCAAATACTATGGTTAGCAAACTGAACACAAAACAGCCTTTCAACTACCTGCAATTACAAACAGAAGCACAGGATCCAAACGATTAAGAGACTTGCAAAAAGAGAAAAGCAAACTCAACATAGAGAGACGGATAAATCACCTGGGACGAATACAAAACCTGCGAAACTGGATATTCTCCAGACCTCTCAACTGTCCTACAATGGGTCTGGATCTCCTCCAGATCTCTCAAACCTTCTTCTTCGTGGCTTTCAACTCCGCCCTTATCCAAAGAAGAGAGATGAAAATTCCCAACGCAGAGAGGACACCGAGGGAGAGAGAGAGAGAGAGAGCAGCCGGAGAGGTGAATAACAAAAGGCGAGAGAGTAACATGCTAAAGAGAAGCAAAGTTTTCTTTAAGCACCAAGCTGAAGAAAAAGAAAAGAAACAGATCCTCTCAATTAATTAATGCCTTAGCCTGCACAAAACAGTAATAGCCTCTCTCAGCGTCGAACAACGCAAGGACTTTCCAAGCCCTCCCAGAGACAACAAAACCCGGTCTTTTCATACAGTAGAGAAAAAGCATGTCAAGGTATCTCTCTGTATCCAGGAAACCCTTTTCTGTTTCTCGAACGACCCACCTCTCCACTGTCCAGGCATGTCACTCTCATCCACACATCCACAAACCCGCCAGATCTCCCACCGCTCAATGATCCCTCCCCAGCAGAACACCCAAAGCAACTGAATAAGCCTCGGTCCACGCACCCGCCTGGGCCAAAGCAGCATATAGATCTCTGATGACGAACGCGCGTCAGAGCCACCAAACGACCCCAATGCAGAGATACTGAGCAACACAACTCCTTTCAATCAACTTTTCAGTCCCTCTCATGGCCCACCATCTCTGAGCTATCCCATCTCCCAGCACAGTCTCTCCCAAAATCCGCCAGATCTCCCACCACTCAGTGATCCCTACCCAGCAGAACACCCAGAGAGTAACCGAAAACCCTCGATCCGCGTGCCCGCTCGGGCCAAAGTCAAGTATCGATCTCTGATGACCAACGCGCGCCGGGGCCACCAAACGACCGCAACTAAGGCCAACCAGAAGCCAACGACCAGTCCCACACCGACCGAGACCCCAGAGCCCGCCAAATCCCACGCCAGATCCCAATGAGGCCTCACCCAACTCCAGCCCACACCGAAGGACACGCCAGTTTGAAACAGTAAATCTCAGTCACGTTGTACAGTAAAAGGTGTCTGCGTGTACAGTACACGGGCATGCGGCGAGTTTCTTTCTTTCAATTGTCTCCCAAGTCCTACCGTACACTCCATGTTTAAGACAGTTTGTCAACTTTGATTAGATTAGGGGTTTGTCATGAAAGTGACCTGTGTTTCAATAATTGCGTGGGAGATTCCCCAAGCTGTAAGATGCTTATCTTTGGACTGTAGATTGTGGGCATCTGAAGTAATGCTTATCCCATTTCTACTCCTACCACTTTTGAATTGCTTTTAGGGGCGTCTTCACAAAGCCGTCTTTTTCTTTCCCTTAAAAGTTTTCCCTTAATCAGACTATAATTGAGATGGAATCCTTGTAGCTGGCAAATTAGGGAGACCTGGTTATGTACTTTCGATCTTTTAATATCGATTACGAGTCATTCCAGTTCAAGTTGATGCTTCGTGTTAGTACAGTCGGACGCAATAGCGATTGGGTCAAGATCAAGCAGGTTTTTTTATCAAGCTCAGCAATTTCAGTGTTCCTGTGTACCCTGTAAGCGGCCAAAAGGGCTCCATATGTACCAGCTCGACTGAGAAGATCAACACTACAAGTACTGTGATCACGTTTGGATTGAACCTCATAATCTTTCCTTATCCAGTCTAACACACTCGGCTAGTTCGCCTACTTCGTGCTGCACAACCACATCCTTACTCAGGTTCACTCCAGCTTGAGCTATAGAATTCTCGACATAACCAGAATCATGGTGTCTTATGTGACCAACTCCCCACGGTCAGCATTCCCATCATAGCGTTCCAAGCAACAACATTTTTCACCGGCATTGCAGAGAACTGCTTCCTCCATCCATTAATTCCGTGCCAAGCCAAATATCATCGTGTTCCATGAAGCTGCATCCTTGCAATGTATTCTGAATAAGCCTAGTGCCGCTTCCATATCCAAGATGTTAACATAGCAAGCCAACAATGTGTTGTAAGACTGTAACCGGGGAATTTTCACAAACACCTCCTAGGCAACGGGCATCTCTCAATTTCCCGCAGCAGCAGCAGCAGCAGGCCGCCGGATCAGCTGTAGCTGCTGATCTAGACCACCGGCAGAGACCTAGATAGACAGTCAGCTGTTGACAAGTCAAGGCTAAGTCATCTAAGCTCAGTTATTCGAGATTTTAATCAATCAAGGATTAGACAGAAGTGCTCAACACAAAATATGCAGAAACACATGAAGATGTAGTAGAGCAAGAGAAAGAGAAAAAAACTAACAGTAGTACAACTACAAATCCCTAAATTTGACAAAACAAAACTGCTGCTAAATGCTAACCATCCAAGTTCCGAAAGACGATACGACTCCAAGACTCCCCTAAACTTACCTGTTTTAACCAAAAATATAACAAAAAGGGGGGATAATAAAAAAGAAAAGTGATGACAAGAGTATCAAGCTTATCCAAAGTTGCAGCAAAGGAATCACTGCCAGAAGATAGACCCAAGACAGGCATATCTAAATTTACACCCAAATTTAAACTAAGACAAGAGTTAAATTAAAATATGCGTTCTGTTCTCGAGCGTGACTCCTGATGATAACGAACCAAACCCCCTTCGACTCCACCGGACTTCTCTTCTTGCAGAAAAATCTTCACTTGCCACCCAGCGACGGGAACTGCCCTGGGTCTTCAATAGATGGGGCTGACACGTCACGGCTGTTGTAGCCTCCTCCATATCCACCGCTGGATCTACCACCACGATCACCGCGCCCACGGCCCCTGCCACGGCCACCACCCCTGTAGGGGTTCTCGCCTTCAGCTGGCTTTAGGAACTCATTTATGCTCACAGCCTGCATTTCGTATAGATTAATCATTATCAGCCAGTGTTGCACAAACGAGATGATAGAGCCAACATACGATACAAGGGTATGCGAGAGATGCAAGACACAAAACACATACCTTCTTAACCCTCTCTTCCCTTTCAGCAGCAGTTTCTTTTTTCTTGTCCTTGTCAGAACCCTGTGAAACCCAGAAATTTTGCATTTCAACGATCTGATTCATTCATGTTTATAGAATAGAGTGTGTGGATTTAGTTCACTCACCAGCTTGGCAAAGATTTCTACATTTTCCTTCTTGCAGGACAGCTGTTGCATGGATTCAAATTCTTTAGCATCGACCTTCCTTTCCTCGCTGGTCTTCAGAGCAAGCAAAGCCTTCCTCTTCTCCTCAAGAACCTTCTCATACTCCTCCAGTGTCATCTCCTGCTTTGGAGGATAACCACAGAACAGAGATGGAAATTAGAACATTAACTTGAGTAGCAATACTACGGCACTACTGATGTCACTGACACAACATAGGGAAGATAGATTTGAGGAGCATTAACTTGTCTAGATGTGATTTTAATCGGTTAGAGATGCAAACTAATGGAACAACCTGAAGGTAATCAACAACTCACACCGACTCCCAAAGAGAACATAATCCACAAAACAGAGGTTAGCAGTTTATAATGAAATGACTGAAAATTCAGAAGAGCATATGCTCCACACCACAACTTCAAAATTAGCTTCAATTTGAAAAGAATAGAAATCAATCGACCTTATCCTCCTCAGGCTCTTTCTCTTCAGTTTCATTTGCAGGACTGTCCTTGTTGGCATCAGCAGCCTCACCCTCAGCAGGCTGCTTCTCAGCAGTGGCATTTGCTTCATTCTCTACCACAGGTTCTTCAGTACCTCTATATCGAAGTAGACAAAAAACGGTATCAAACCATCACAAACAAATAGAGCATACATCTCTTGACAATAACAGAACAATAACTCACGGTGCAACATCATCTGAAGCAGTCCCCCAGTTTCCACGACCAGACCCTTCACGCTTTATCTCGCTCCTGATGCATACACATTAGACACCAGTCTTAGTCGCACAATCAATCACTAAACAGACAACCCAATAACTAAATCATCAAAGCAAATACTAACCCACGGCCAGTTCCGCTGCGACGCTCAAACACCCTTCTGGGGCGCTCGCCCTCACCAGCTTCTCCATTACTATAGCCACCACGACGTCCACGGGAAGAAGGGCCGCCACCAACAATGCGAGGACCACCGTAGCTACGCCTCTCATTCGTCCTCCCAGACTCACCATCTTCAGATGGCTTGCTGTTCCCATAACCAGCCTCGTAGTTGTTAGACTCCCTGTTGAAACCACCGCCACCACTTCGACCTCCACGTGCATAACGCGGCCCAGCACCACGATTTCCTCCTCCACGGCCACCTTCATTTCTCGATTCCCTCACTACTCAACATATCAAACAAACAAGTCAACAACCAAGCTAAAACAAACACAGCACGAGGCAATCTAAACTTAGCCGCACACACAACTGAGCACAGAACAGCATAAAAAACAGCAATCCACCACCGCTAACATGGAGAACCGAGCAAGGATACCAGACTCAACGCCCCGACAATCACAGCGCACAGCTGAACGCAGCTCAATAGTAAGCGAATCAAACACAGTAATAATCTCCATCCATCTAGGAGTCGAAACAAAAATCTGAATACGAACAGCTCAATAAAGCGAAAACAAAAAGGAAAATATAGTGATTGGAAGCTCCTTACCAGCTTGAGCAGGGGCAAGCGGCTTGTTAACAAGCTTGCCTTGCGGAGCTTGAGCCGCAGCAGGAGTAGCAGCAACCTTAGGCTTCTCCTTCTCGACCTTAGCGATGAGCAGCGAAGGATCGTCGTTATCGTCGTCTCCGAGGAGATCGAAGGGGTTCATGGTCGCCATTTCTGCTCTTCCGATTACTTCCGAGAAAACCTCCCCTCGCCAATCAAATTAAAGACCGTCTAGAACAGTACAGACCGCTCTATTGATTGCTGGACGCCATAGCCGAATGAAGAGAGTGTTCGGTGGGAGAGGAAATGGGGAGAAACGAGAGAGAAAATTTTTGTGAGAGTTAATGTGTGGAAAACCCTAGCCACTGCGGCTGACGAGAAAATGAGAGAAGTGAAGAGTGTGGAGCGTTGGCATCCTAATCTTAAAAACCCTAGTTGGAAGAAGGTGAGAGTGTTACGCTACGGGAGGGTGCATTTTATTTTTCGGGGAACCTGCCTTGAGAGATGACAATCTGTTAGTTTAATGAATCCGAAGGTAATTTCGGCTCAAAATAGGATGCATAATTACGAGTAACCAAATTTAGATCTTTTAAGTGGTTGCAGATCTAAGGGTGGAGAATTAAAAGAATTTATTTTTTCTAGTTTTATTGATTGGATCATATTTTCTTCATTCTAACTCGGATTTCAATTTTTTTTTTTCACAGATGGAACGAGTTCGTTGTGCTCTACAAAATGATATCCATTTTTAATATTCTTTTAGGAAAAAAAATTGCATACCTCTCGTTACCAACTTTATTCCATATGGTATCTCCTTCATTTTTTAGTCGTTTTCGGAAAGTTTTAGCACAGAATGAACAATTTAATCATGATCTATTGGATTTCAAATTTTTCTCAGTGAAAAAATTTCATACCTCTCGTTACCAACTCCATACCATACTATACCACCCTGGTATGAGGTGGTATTTTTCATACCATATGGTATGTTGTTATTTAATACCAGTCAATACCATATGGTACAGTCAATACCATATGGTACAGTCAATACCATATGGTATAGACTGGTAATAACTGGTAAATTTTTTGTTCCAAAAAATATCAAAGTGGATATCACTTTGAAGAGCATAATTAATTTGATCTAACTGTGCAAAAAAAAAAATTCGACTTAAAACGAGTGAGAAATCGTCCGTTAAAGATTAAGAGAAGAAAAATTAAAGGTTTTTCCAGGAGAGAGAAGGAGGCGCTGATGTGGCGAATTCTTATTGGGTTATGCATGGGGTTACCACAAGGTTACTCACCGTATCTGCTCCCGGTAATTCCCACTTATAGGACCTCCAAGTTCTAATAGGTTGATTGATTTTCTTCAAAAGAGCTTGTTTTTTACTTTTGCCACAAACTCAGCAGCTCTGTGAAAAGTTTAAAGAGCAAAAAGACATGAAATTGACACAAAGGACAAGAACAGAGAAAAAAACTTCCCTATAAGTGACTCCAGGAGCGGTTATGTCATTATTATTTCATAGTAATCACCATGGTTACTTATGTATCCTTTGGTATAAATGAATTCTATAAGTTTTGATGAATTCATTATGAAATGAAATATTTTTGTGTCTGGTACTAAAAAGAATTCATTTTCAATTCTAAATTTTGAATTCTACGAAATTGGAACCAATTATAGTAATTTCCGAGTAATTGAAATAGAATTTTCAAATGAATTGCACAAGTATTTACTAATTATAATAGAATGATATGATTTTATTAACTAAATTACTTATACATATGACATACCAAATACATGAATTCATTTGACAATGATTCTACACGACACTTCATTTTATTTCTAAAGATTTGAATATAACATACCAAACATAGAATTCCATTTGACAATGAATTATACACGGTAATTCATTTTACAATGAAATGAATTCTTGATTCATTTGGTACCAAACAGTCTGCTAGAGCAAATTGGGTATGACAAAAAAAATTATTAATTACTTTTTTAATAAATTGCATTTTAGATAGTTACAAACAATAGTAATTACAATTATCTCTCTCTTTCTCTCACTTCTGTAATCTTTGGTCAGATCTCTCTTCCTTCCTTTCTCAAATTTTCTTTGTCTCCTTTCAATCGAAATAATACAAGTGAAAAAATAAAATAATAAATCACTACCAATCCATTAGACAACCATTACCACTTTGAAAAATATCAATACCATTGAACAAATAAATCAATATCATTATGAAAAAATAATATCATTGCATTAAAACTACCGATATAAACAATCTATACCATTACAAGAGTCAAACTGATACCAAAATCAATCCTTACCACTACTACTGTGAAATTCGAACAATACCATTGCAAAAGTAAATCAATACCATTGTGAAAAAACTATCATTATGAAAAACAAAACTATACAATTTCATAAAATAAAACAATAAACCAGTACCAAAACAATAAAATCCCAAATCTGAAATCTGCACGAAAGTGTCGGCTCCTCTCACTGGGTAGTGAGAGAGAGGGAGAGAGAGGAGGGGATAGGGGGAGAAAGACATGCTATGGTGGGGTAAGGAGTGGAGGGGGTGGGGAAGGGAGGAGGGAGGGTGGTGGTGGTCGACTGGGAGGAGGGTCGGCGGTGGGAAGAGAGAGCTGGCGGGAGCCTGGTGGGGTGAGGGGAGGAGAGGGAATGTCGAGGTTTCTATTTGGGGAGAGATGGAGATTGATGGATTTTAGTATTTTGGAAAGAGTAAGGAGATAGTAAATCATAAATATAGGTAATAATCTGATGTGTTAATATTTTTATTCCAAAAATATCCTTACTTTAATTTTGACTATTATTTTAAAAAAATGAGAAAATAGAGCTAATTAAGGGTCCATATGTAGGTTGCCACGATGGTTACTAAAAAACTAGTATACACTCTAACCCATTCCAAGTGACTCCTCACTAGGAAAGGGACGTTTCCTCGATGTAGGATCCATGTTGACTAGTTGAGAAACTCAGTAATATGTAACAAGCAGTACATTATGAGTAAGATACCATCACATAGCCGACTAAGGGCACGTAATTTTGATATGAGCATCGCTAATTCCTTAATAGAATTTACTGAAAACAAATGAAATAATTCCATTACCTGAGAAGTCGACCGAGTCAGTTGTATATCCTCGATGATTCTTTGTCACAATTAAATAAATAATTTTTGTCACAGATTGAGGAGATGCTCGATCACAACTTCACAACCCTAATTTTTCTTGCAAAGAGACCAACTACAAAGGCAGCACCATGGTGCTAAAAATCTCTAACCGAAGAGATTAGAGTATGCCATGAGACATAGTCGAAATCTACCGAATACACCGCACCATTTATGTGATTTCAACCCTTACACTGAGGAGTTATATGGTGAGTAATCAGTATAAATGGTCACAAATCTTTGCATTTAGTACAATCGAGGCATGGTGACTTTGTTAATTTACGTGGACGATATGATCGTAATAAAGGATGACAATTAGGGAATTCAACACCTCACAAATGGGGTAGGAGTCTACTTTTCACACGAAGGAACTAGGCCTAATTTGTTGTTTTTTTTTTGTATCGAAATTGAAAGGTCAACATAGGACATTATTATTCGGCAAAGCAATATATCGATAATCTTTTAGAAACAACACGTTTCGATGAGTGTATCCCAGCCAATACACATATGGAGCTTCATTTGAAACTTGGGAAGGATACTAGGATACCTTTAGAAGATGGTAGCCACGACAAAAGTGTAGTCCATAAGTTCATATATGACAAACACGCGACCCTACATCTCATATGTTGTTCAAGTGGCTAGTATCATATACTTGACGAACACACGACCCAACCTTAAAAAGGTGGAAAAAAAAAATAATTTGTAATGCCTCGGTAACAAACCTTTGCATTTAGAACACAAAAGTCACAAAATAAACAAAAGTGACCATTTCATATAAATTCAAACTTTTGTTACTGTATCATTACAAATTAAAGATTTGTGACAGTTTTGTACTAAATGCAAAGGTTCGTAATCATTTATGCTAATTACCTGTTATATGGTGGGGTGAATTTATATTTTATTTTATAGGGGTTATCTGGCTGTGGAAATGTTTGGTTCATTTGGAAGCATATTGTGTAAACGTGGCATTTAGCATGTGGTATTTTCATCAAATATGATATTTATATAGGGATAAAAAAATGGTATTGTGGTTGTGGTTAGGGATGGCAATCAACCCATGACCACGTGTATTCAACAGATCCCGACCCAATCAACGTAGGGAGTTCCCACATTAACTGAGTATTGGGCGGGTATGTGTAAAATCCGCAAAAAGTTCGATGGGTATGAAATAAGTATGGTTTTAGCCTTTCTCGTCCCACCAAGAGCACTTCTTCATATATAAAAAATATGTGGATCAAATTGTAACTTATCAATGACCGTGAGAGTAATTCAAGAAAATAAATAGTATAAATGCAATTGAGTGGCCACCCAATCCAAACCTAATTCTCTTCTCTCAATTCTCCCTTCTCTCTTTCACTTTTTCCACCTTGTTAACAAAATTATGTTAGTTAATTATTACTTAGTAGATGTATCAAAGATTAATGATTTAGAAACTATTATATTATCTTATGAATTACTAAATGTTTTAGGATCATATTTTTTGAATCGTATTAAGAATGATTATATATTTGTTGACTTCATGGTATAGTAGGTCACTTTAGTGTTATAATTTAAAATTTACATGTAAAGCTTTGGCAAAGGCTAGTGTACGCCCGGGCGTACCCTAGCCTACCATATGCCCGTTGAGTTTTGCAATTTAGACAATGAATTAACCGGAGTTTGGGGCATGATACTATACCTTAACTCCTAATGGATAAACCCCAGTCCGCAAATCACTAATCCAAAGCATAATATTCATTTAATCTTAAAATGAAAATCAACGGTTCTGATTCGTCAAAATTATTGTTGATTTTCATTTTAAGATTAAACAAATCTCATGATTTGGGTTAGAAAACTAGGGACTTGGGTTTATCCATTAGTGGTTAGGGTATAGTATCATGCCCAAAACTCTGGTTAATTCATGATCTAAATAGAAAAACTCAAACGGGCATACGGTAGTCTAACGTACGCTCGGGCTTACGCTATCCTAAACTGTAAAGCTTTAGGTATAATAATGTTGGATGTACAGATGGGGTGGGTATGAGTTTAGATATTTTAATTTCAAATTGATGAAATACATATTTACAATTTCTTATTCAAAAAATAAAACCCAACATATTTTTTTCTAACCCTATGAAGATAGAGCACTTCTAGTGTGCTCTATAGCACCCATGCTATAAAAAACAAAAAAAAAAAGGTGACCTGTTGAGGAGGTAAACCCACTAAATGACTGGTCCCACATCATTAATGGCAATCTTGTAAATAATGAATCAATGTATACAAGCGTAGGAACAAGT